ACCCTTGTGGGACACTCTTGTAGCGCACTCTTGTGGGACACTCTTGTAGGACACTCTTGTGGGACACTCTTCTGGGACACTCTTGTAGGACACTCTTGTAGGACACTCTTGTGGGTCGCCAGTTCTCAGCTTCCAGCTCCACAGATTGCTCCGCGTACTAAAGTTGTACTACAAAGTCGCCAGTTCTCAGCTTCCAGCTCCACAGATTGCTCCGCGTACTAAAGTTGTACTACAAAGTCGCCAGTGCTCGCCTGCATTTCGCGCGCTCGACACGCACGATCTCCGCAGAGGGTTGCGCGGGCACGGGACAAATCGCACTCTCGCCTGCGTTTCGCGCACTCGACACGCACGATCTCCGCAGAGGGTTGCGCGCGCATGGGACAAATCGCACTCTCGCCTGCGTTTCGCGCACTCGACACGCACGATCTCCGCAGAGGGTTGCGTGCGCATGGGACAAATCGCACTCTCGCCTGCATTTCGCGCACTCGACACGCACGATCTCCGCAGAGGGTTGCGCGTCAAGTCTCCAAAATGAGCGTTTCGTACGAGACTTCCTCAAAAACTCACACGTCAAAGTCTGCAAAACGAGCGTTTTGTACGAGACTTCCTCCAAAAGTCAAGCGGAAACACCCATCGGAGCAGTTTCGCGATTCCAGCCCCTCCAAACAACATCCGCTCACACGCCAATCCCAATGTGACAGCGACATTCACCTCTACCACAACTCACAAACTCACGATTCCCTGCGCCTGCCACGAATCTTTCCGCGTCCACACGTCTAACGCGCAAAAAGTACTGCGCCTGCCACGAAATGTCACCTCCGTCACATCTCGCAACCTCACGATTCCCTGCGCCTGCCACGAGAATCGCACTTCCACGCCTCAAAACCCGCACAAAGTCCTGCGCCTGCCACGAAAAGTGACAATATCATCTCATGTGAGCTTCAACAAAATTTGCACCACACCACACGTTTGGAATGATTTCGACCCGTTCTGAGCACACTCCCATCCACCAAAATCGCCATTTCAGCTGAGACTTGTCACGAAAACCGAGCTTCGATGCCACACCCTGAAACGCAAATCCCAATGGCACGGCCACATCCAACACCCCAAAAACACGACTCTCCAAACGCTAATCCCAATGGAACTGCGCAGCAATCTGCGGATCTCACAAAACGCTGCGCCTGTGCAGCGAAATGCATCACGTTTCTTGCGCGACATGTCCTGGTCATGCAAATCACAATGGAATAGCGGCGCAAACTGACACGTGACACGTCCATGCAAAGTCACTTGCAAAAGCTTCCCCCAATGGCAGCAAATTTGAGACGCGATGACGACGACAAGCGACGACAAGCGACGACAGACGACGAGACGACGCAAGCCATGCAAACACAGGTCCAACCCCCACACCCCCAACTATAAACGGGAACCCTTCGCTACGCATTCGGGAAAAAGGCGCCGACCGGAACCAAGACCCAAATGATTTGGACTTGGACGAAGCCGACCACAATGTACCTACAGAGGCCCCGCTAAAATAGCTCGTGTTCAAAAATAGAAGATGAAACAACTGGGGCGTCGGCTGTGGAAAAGCCTGCGGGAAACAGGACCAACGCCGAAACAAATACAGCATGAACCAATGAACAAACTCCCACACCTCAGATTCCATCTCAAAATGCCTTGGGCGCACAAATACGTTTTACCAAATACGGAGCGAAGGATTACAATCTTTTTGGTCGCCGAGGCTGACGCGAGGAAAAAGCGAGGAAAGGCAATTGAAATTGGTCGGCGTCTTACACACTCTGACCAAACTGCGCCAATTCCATGGCGCGGATGAGTATAGATGTTCTTTTCAATGCACCAACACCAAGAAATCTGTGACGCACGCGCAGTTGCAAGCAGTACGAGCAAAAGACCGCGCCCTTTTTCCACAGTGGCAGTGGTCAGTCACCGTCGGAGGGCGCCTGACATGAAACGTTGCGCGTGAACTGCGCAAACGTTCTATCGACATCATCTTGCGTGCCCGGCCTCCGACTCTGATGGGCAAGTCGTGGACTGAAAGTCCAGATCGTCCGCCTCATTGCGGAAAACCGAGCGCTCGCCCCGCCAAGACTAAGATCAACGGCAAAGCGATTTGAGGGCTGCGCAGACCAATTCTCTCTTCCTCCTCCGGTTCCGCCGCCGGCGCCTGCAATGAGCAAGAGCGTCCACGTATCAAGCCCGCCCCTCACAAAACCCTGGCCTCCTCCTCCGACTCGCCAGTGTCGTCGGGCAGGGGGAAATCGAACATTTCCTTGGGCGAGCGCGTGTTTTTTTGTGCGCCTGGCCCCATACACCCCGATCTCGCCGGAAGCGAGGTCGCCTGGCCAGGCCCCAGCGTCGCCGTCGAAGTCCCCGCCGGGGAGCACCTAAGGTTCTACATGCGCGCTGGCGCAGGCAAAACATTCAACAAACAAAAGTGTGTAAGTGCCCGGCAAGAGGTTCACAGTCGCCGCCGCATTCCTCACCTCACCAACAGTAAAACAATAATGTGGCGACAAAATGCCTGCATAGCGTGCGGCTCAAGCTGAGGTTGAAACAAGTTGGTCCCGGTCCGTCCCAAATCAGGACTGACAAGCACGGGCGGTGGCAGACCTAGGTCAATTCTAGACAAGTGAAAACCTTTTAGTGTCCAAGGCGGAGCCATTTTCACCCGGAGCAAGTGGAGAATGCTGTTTACAGGAGAACGACATGATTATTGTCCGGTTTGGTTTGGATTTCGGCACTTGACGCTCGAAACGCCCAGCAACATGCAGAAACCAAATGGACCTGAGCAGTGTTTTGGAAAGAGTCAGGGTGTATCTGCTTGCATCTTGCATCCCAATTCCCGATTCCAGGCCCCGGAATCGGGAATGGCACTGCCTTCAAGTTTATCGAGTGGGAACTGAAGCAAACACATGGCTGCCACGTTTTCTTGCCACATGGCTTTCTGCACGAGGGGAGCCCCCCCTTCACTTCGTCCCACACCACAGTGGTCTCTGGCCACTTTAAGACACTTCATGTCATCGCAGTCTCATCGCAGTCTCACAACCGAGTGCGAGATCATTTCTTTTTGAGGGGCGGCATCCTGTTACCACTCTACAGTAGTTGGTCACCAGTGGTTCCAGGCAACGACAAAAACCATCGACCGGTTCCGGCCCCTGGGTTGCCTGGGATGCATTGGGAAGACCCTAAAACGACGAGGTCGAAGGGTTTGGTTCGACCTTCTCTTCCTCGTTTCACCGAGGCAAAGAACACTGACGTCTTGACCGAGATCCATTGGGAAGTCCACCGCGGTTGGTTGGCGGTCCACCCCGAAGGGAAGGGCTGACTGGTGTTCTCGTTCCTCAACTCAGAACCCTCCGGCACTTTTGACTTCCTCCCCCTTGACCTCATGGCATCTTGGCCCAGTGGCACGCCTGCTTGGGCACCTCCGCTTCGGCACGCCTGGCGCCCGCGTGCGGCGCTGGTGTTTGGTGTGACGATTCTGGTTCTTGGCGAGTGGACGTTTTGCAACCTCATCAGTCTGGGTGGAAGGACTGATTCGCAAATGGGATTCAGCGGTCTCGACATCACAACACTTCTTTGGGCAAGATCAGGGACTGAACGAAACCAGCTTAGTTCCTGCAGCCCTTAAGTGGACACGATCTGGGGCGGGACAAGATGGGCTGCCACGCAGACAGTTGAAGCGAGAAAGCAGAGTCGCACCAAAAAGATAACAACCGTGAGACCTACCAAAAAAGGAACAGGTCTACAGCTACAGCGAAGTAGCTCCTCTGACTCATCTGTAGCTTCCCTGCTTTCTGCATCCACTCTCCTCTCTTCGAGGCTTTGGAATGCGGCTTTTCCAGTCCGTGGCCCACCAGGACCGGCCAGGCCGGTCTGAAAAAGGTCGGAAAAGGAACCGAGAAGGGCGGAAGATCAAGGATGCACGTTGTATAATGCATGCACATGCACATGTGAACGCCTAAGAATGACCCTTTGATTTGCATCTGGAATGATCCTGACCCCTCCTCGTGCTAGGTTGGTGGCTGGGTCTCGTATCCAAACAAAAGGGACGAGTGTCTTTTTCAGCTGTCACAGCCCTGTCCCTTTCTCTTTTTCTTGCATCCCGAAACACGGAACACGTGACCTGAACAGGGCCCGATCCTTCGAATCTGTGGAGCCCATTTCCCAACTGATTTCTTCTAGGAACAAGAAGCTACTAGGGGCTCCTGGCATCGCTACTAGGAACAAGAAGCTACTAGGAACAAGTGCATCGCTACTAGGAACAAGTGCCTTACTAGTAGTAACAAGAAGCTACTAGGGGCTCCTGGTATCGCTACTAGGAGCAAGGACGCTACGAACGGGGCTCCTCCATCCGTCTGGTCGCGCCTCAAAGCTTCCGCCTGGTGGTGGGACCGGACGACACACGACGACACGACAAAAGACACCTGAACATCCCCGGAATTCATCTACGGTAACGCATGTTTTTTTCCGGGTTGAACAGCTAAAACCACTGGCAGAAAGGCATAAACTGGAGTGGAGCATAAGAGCAACCACTAGTCGGATAGAGTATGCGAGTTGCAGCAAGGGATGATCCGAATTGATCCTGGACGTGCATGCCACTGACTGTAAACGACAAATCAAACCAGTGAGAAACAAACAATTCATACCACCCAAAACAAAAGAAACACACACACACACACCTCAAATACACAACCTATTGATTGACACCTGATGTGATTGATCGCATCAAGTCACAACGAGTGCCGCATGATCTGGCTCCCGTTCCCCAAGGAAACTTCTAGATTACAAAGCTTTCTTGTTAGCGATAGCCTCCAACCGAGTTTATGCCAATGTTACTTGTAGCTTCTTGTTACTAGTAAGAATGCTCGGTTCGTAGCGATGCCAGGAGCCCCGTTCGTAGCGTCCGGTCGCTCCTAGTAGTAAGGCCAGGAGCTACTAGTAGGTTCTTGTTACGTTCGTAGCTTCTGCTCTCCCGTTCTTCAGCCTCTTCGCTGTTCTTGGCACGTTCGGCCACAGGAAGCGCCTTCCGCGGCTTCTCCTCAGCTTCTGTGGCTGGGGTGAGATGAACCATTCCGTCGTTTCTCTTCTATTCAGATTGAAAGACCATGGCGTGAATTACGATATGTATATCATAGTATACACAATGTTTTGTTCTTTTGGGTATATCTCTTTATTGTTTCTTTCTTTCGACCTTTCTTTATTTTTTCTTTCTTCCTTCCTGGGAGACTTTCCTAGTATATCTCCTTTCTCTTTTCTTGGCAAGCGCTCTCCACTCTATCACCTCAAAGAACAAATATATTGTCAGAATCCCTGCAACATCTCTACAAATCTCATATCATATCTTCACATGCTTGTTCGCCAGCGATCAATATGACTTCCAAAGCATGCATAGTGCCTCCTGACCCTGATTGTCAATTTCAACATCTACACCACCATGCGCTCTCAATACGGGGAGCGTGCGTGTCTGACGCACAAATGTGTGTCGTGTGCGCGTCTGGGATGAGTTTGGGGGGCAGGTGCGGCAATATAAGGTGACCTGATGCGCGAGATTTTCTGCAAAGGATGGGCGCGAATAAGATCTGCGCGATCGAACATCCAGTACTTTATTGACCTCCTTGTAAACTAGCGTATGTACCCTTCGAACAAACGCCTTTGTCAATATCTAAACAAGAGAGCCTTTCGGTCAACTCTGCATGTTCCTGTTTGGGGATTTCGCATCCCGTTCGCAACGCGGAACGTACCATCCTAGTTCAACCTCCTGGTGGAAGGCCTCCCAGCGAACAAACAGCGCTGTACCGATTGATGCCGGAAGGCCCGGCTCTGATACTTCATACTAGTGTGGGAAGTCCGCTAACGCCTGGAGAGTGCTCGAGTGCCCATCTTAAGAATGGCCTCCAACCTACAAGCAATGGCCTCCAACCTCAAATTCCCCAAAACATCTTTTAGCCAGCCCCTTCGCGCACAGCATGACCTCTTTTGAGGCAAGTCTGGAGCCGGTGTAAAGCATGTCTAGCTTTTGTTGGAAACTGCCTCAGCCTAAGAGTGTAAGGTTCTTTCCAGCGAAAATGCAGAGCGTTCAAAAGGAGGAGAAAACTCGTCGTTTTCGTGTTGCAATGCAAAGTGTCTGTCATTTCTCATCTTGGGCGAGGGGAGCAAATGCTGCAGTGCAAATGAACATGGTCCACCGACGATGTTGTTTGTGCGCTGGCTTTTCTGACCAAGAAGTGTTGCTTGACCGCACCATGGCACAAAAGGGTGCAATCTTCTCTTATCAAAAATGGTCCATGAATTAATCCAGCCAAAAACAGATCACCAATCAAAACAGTGAGAGTTGTCAAACATGGGGGCCTTTTTTGCAGCACCGCGCCGATGCGTTTGTGTGTTCGTCCGTTCGTCCATCTGGTCCTTCTCGCACGAGGGATGGTCGACGCACGAGGCCTGCGAGTCGTCGAGACGTGTTCGCTTCCCGAAAATGGGAAACCGGGCAATGAGGAAGGAGTAACAAGAAGCTAGTAGTAACAAGTGCCACGCTAGTAGTAACAGG